TAGCATTTTGATAATTACTTCTTTTGCACTGTGACGTATTTTACATTGAGCACAAAATCGTGCCGCATAACAAGGACGCTGTGTTGGAATTCTTTTATGCCTTAAACCACAATTTGTACATCTTATTGTATTTGCTGCTTGTTCCATCTTTCTATGAAGTTGAGAGAGTAAATCACTCAATACACCCCAAGCTGCTTCAACTTGTCTAGTTTGATCAAATGCTTGCCTACGTTCCTAAAATATTAAGAATAGAGTACAGTTATAGCATAATAACAAATATAAATTACACATGAAAAATATAATGTTTTGAGGATAAATTTTTTTTAAATTAATAAATATAAAAATAAGCAATACCGGTTCACCAATTATATCAAATGCGTGAACAAGTATTTTGAATGCTTCTTCTGCACCAGGCTGATTATTTTTATCTGGATGAACTAAGAAAGCTTGTCTCTTATAGTACTTTTTTATATCATCATCTGAACATGTTGGTGTAACTCCAAGTATACTATAAGGATCCTTTCCTTTGCAAGCTAATAATCTTTTCATAGCTTCTTCACCAGTACTAGGTAATGCAATATTGGCTTCAAGGCCACCATGTATCCAATTACTATTTTCTTCTTTTTCTTCATTTTTAGTTTTTATTTTACGCCAAAATGCAAATTTACTATTACCAAACCAGTTATCCAATTGTTTGCCAATAGTATTTAAAATACGAACTTTTGAAAATGTCATAGCCATATAAACCCATGAGTATTTTAAATATAGTATAGCATGATACCATCCACATTTTCCACTAAAATGTAAATATAAATCTGATTATTTACATTATTTAAAATTACTAAATAACTGAAATAGTCAAAATTAAATCAAAATATTTTTAACATTAAGAATTACTCACAGAAGAATCATAAGATTAGCACTCATGCTAACTACATCAGATACTAAGTGTAGCAACCAATGAAATATTTTTAAACCAATTTTAATCCAGTGGCTGGCATATTTATTTAAATTTTTATACAAATCTTTGACTGGTGATTCTCTATTTTCTCTTTTTCGATTTCTTTGAGCTTTTTTAATCTGTTGTGTTTTTTCTGCTTGAAATCGTTTAGAATTCTTTTCTTTTGTTACCTTCTTTTCTTCTTTATTCATTTTGTTCATAACTTGTTGATTTTTTTCTAATTTTTCAGAAGAAATAGTTTGACTGGAAGTGTTTATTATATTTAAATTATTATTTATTTGTATGGGACGTTTAGGAATATTCCCAGAAGATTTGGGATTGTTATTTTGAATTTTTGAATTATTAAGCGTTTCTCCTTTTTCTGCTTTCTTAGGTATTTTAGAAACTTTTTTCTTTTCAAATTGATTTGCTCTATCAAAACTATTTATTTCGTGAGCTTCAGTTGGTGAACCAAGATTGTCTAATGATACCCAACGCCTTGGGAGATTTGAATTATTTTTTTCTAGTACTTTCCGTGGTATTTGCATTTTTGGAGAATTATGATCATCACTTCCAGATGAATTTTGTCTCTTTAATGTCGAAGATTTAGATTTATTTTTTGAATTTTTATTAGAAACCTTCTTGTTTATGGATTCTGTTTTGGGTTTTATAGATTGAACTGTTAAAG